TGGCCTGTTATCTTCTATCTTCTTCATGGCTGACTCAGTGGTCAGGGGAAATTAAATGATAGCACAGTGGTCAAGCTTGTTTCTCCTGGAGGCGCTCTTCTGGGGATATTTGGGCTGCCTTTGGAGTCTCAGCGTCTTAGGCCACTGGAAATTGGGTGATGTGCGGATCTTCTTTTTTTTTGGCTGTGGATGCCCTTCAGGACTGCCTTCTTGGCCTTTAAATGTCTTTGCTTTGGATTCTGTTTTGGGAGGGGTAGACGCCATCTTTGTAGAAAAGCCTGTACTTAATTTTGACAATTGGACATATCTTTTAGCTTCCTAGTAAAAATAGGGAGCTCTGGTGACCTAGTGGTAAGAAGCTGTGCTGCAATCTCAAAGACACATAGTTTTAATCCACCATCTGCTCCACAATTTGACTAACTGCCTCTGAAAAGCTGCTGGAGGGTCAACTGTGGGTTGATTCCGACTCAACAGTACACAACAACAATGACAGAAAAAGTATCTATACCCCCCCAAAAACCTCCAATAAACAGATTTACCCAAAAAACCCCAACTCCCACAAAACCAAACCACTGCCATTGAGTCACTTCCGTCCTTGGCAACTTTCCATAGGGTTTCCGAGGCAGTCCATCCCCAGAGGAGGAGACTGTCTGTCATTCTCCTATGAAGCAGCTGATGGATTGGAACTACCAGCCTTTTGTTTAGCAGCCCAAAACATAACTAGAGTTCCTAGTCATTGTCATTGTGTGCCATAGAATCAGAATTAACTCATAGCTGACCACCCAGTGGATTTTGAGGGATTATAAATTTCACAGGAGGAAATTGTCCGTCTTTCTCCTTTGAGCTGCTGGTAGATTTGAACCATTTTCTTTTGAGTTTACAGCATGACTCTTTACCACTCGGCTGTCAGAGCTCTCTTTCCTAAAAATACCTATTGTTACTGTGTGCCATTGAGTCAGAAATGACCCATAGCTGACCCTCCCGAGGGTTTTAAGAGGTTGTTAGTGAAATGGAAAACAAAGATATTTTGTTGTTAGTCCATTTTAGTTTTACTTTTTGCCCCTACATCTCTAGGTTGTTAGGTAAAATAACCATAGTTATTTTAGAATGTATGTCCAGAACATGTTACACACAGTTTTGGAATCTTAGGATGGGACAAGAATTATAGGTAATTAATCCACATTAATGTGGCCAAGAGTAGTAGTATCTCTAGTAAGAGTCCAAACTAGATCCAAGACTTTCTATTCTTTCTGAATCCTCCTAGAGAACTAGTCAGTTACATGAACACACAGGGCAGCCATTGATTCTAGGGTCTTGAACATTCTGATTTGCCAGGCATACTGCAAATTATTTTGTATACATTATCTTATGTAATATTAATAATAATCCTACATAATAATAATATTATTATGCCACAGTTTATAGATGATGACACTAAGAGTAGGTAATATGTACAGAGAGTCTCTGGGCTGCACAAATGGTTATGTTCTCAGCTGTTAACTGGACAATAGGTAGTTTGAATCTTCTCAGAAACACCTCTGAAGGAAGGCCTGGTGACCCACTTCCAAACACCAGTCACTGAAAACCTTATGGAGCACGTGGGGTTGCCAAGAGTTGGAACTGACCCCACAGCACCTGGGAGTTCATTTGTTTTATATGCCCAAAGTCTTCATAGCTCATAAGTGGTGAAGCTTTTGCTATGGATTTACTCTACTTTTTTTTGTGTAAATGCTTATTAATAGCCTGATGATCTCTTCTAGGTTTGCCTCTCATCTCTGGGCGAAGTTCCTATCATCTTCTCCATTTGTCTTCAGAATTCATCTGTAAAGACCCCATACACCAGGCTGGGTATGTTATCTTATTCAATATCCTTTTTTTAGTTAATAAAGCAAGTCTTTTTAGGCACTAGCTATAGTTTCATCACAAGCTCTGGAGAAAAGGAAGTACTAGTGCAAGTGACTCTGACAGGAGAAACAAAAGTAAATTTTTTGTAACTTAACAATCCTGTTCTAATGCAATTTACTGTAACTAGAAAGAAATTTAAGTTCAGTAATCATTAATCCATTGATGTGAGACTTGAAACTCCAGTATATGAACAGCTGTTGGTGTTTTTGATGGTCCTCCCTTCCAGGTCATCACCCAGAAGTAGTGTAAGAGCTACATATTTCCTCTAATGCTCATTTGGAAACTTGTGAATCTGAGAAGAAAGTCCCCATTCACAGCACAATTCAGGGTTCAAAAAACCCTCAAAAATTCACTGCTGTTGGGTTGGAACCAACCTATAGCTGACCCTCCGTTGCATTCCTAGCACTATCAGTAGCAGTGGATGAGATTGTCCATCTTTCTCCTGCTGGTGGATTCAAACCAACAGAAAGGCATGACTTTTGGGTTGGCAGCACAACTCCCTAGGAGCTAAGCCACTAGAGCTCCCTCAGATACAGTGGTTCTCAAGTCTCAGCTTCCCTGTTCCCTGCTGCACTCAGGAACTCTGGTATCGTGGTGTATTCCATGTAGTGATACTAACCAAAAAATCAATGATTTTCAAAACCAATGGGTAGTCTCCTCCTGTAAAGCTTTTTACAGCCTTGGAAACCTGATTGGAGGGTCACTGTGAATCAACTCACAGCACGTAAACCTCCCACAAGGATTTTTAGAATAAGGGCGGGATTGTGGGGAAACTCAGTGTAATTGTAAGGATGAGCCTGGTACTTAACCATTAATTAGAAGGTTTTTAAAAATATGCCTAACTCTGAAAACAAAGTCAGTGTTGGAACCCAATCTGGTTCCTGCTTGATTAAGAACCATGTTATGTTCCTTCCTTTCCTTGTTAATTTGACCACTTCAAAGTGGAACTTCTGGCATCCCCTCTGCTCTTTATTCTTTTGTCCTGACACCAGTTCTTAACTTGAGCAAATTAGTGGATTAGCCACAGCTGGTCAAGCAGATCTTTCTGACAGGGATCATTTAAGAAAGAGTTTGTGACAATGATTTTCAAAGTTCTCATTATCCTTGTTTATCTGCAATCTCATGAAAATTATTCCTTCATTAGCTTACTGTAAGATAACCTGCTATAGGAATTAGTTTTACTAGAATGTTTCATCCAACATTTCTGTGACCATGAGTTTAATCCTATTGTTGTTTTTGTTAGGTGCCACCACATTGGTTCAGACCCACACTGTCGGTGTACAACAAAAGCAAACACTCCCTGGTCCTGTGTCGCACTCAACAGTCTTTACTAGGTTTAGGTTCATGGTTGCAGCCACTGTGTTAATAATCCACCTTGTTGAGGGTCTTTCTCATTTTCACTAGTCCTCTGCTTTACCTAGGGAGCTCTGATGGCCTAGTGGTAAGAAGCTTCTCTGCAGTCCCAAAGGCATGCAGTTCAAATACACCAGCTGTGAGAGGATGGGTAGTCTGCTCCTGTGTGATTCATCGCCTCTGAAAACCCACTGAAGGGTCAGCTATGGGCTGGTTCTGACTCCATGGCATACACTGCTTTACCTAGCATGCTGTCCTCCAGGGATGTGCTCCTCCTACTGACGTGTCCAAAGTACTTGAAATGGAGTCCCACCATCCTTATTTTGAAGCAATATTCTGGCTGCACGTTTTCCAGGGCATAGTTGTTTGTTTTTCTAGAAGTCCCCTGTGTATTCACTATTTTTTTTTGTTCTTCCTATTTTTTTTATTTTATTCTGATTTATTTATGATGCTTGAATACATTGTTTTTCACAAAACATCCCTCCCATTTCCTGCATCCCACCTACCCATCAAATTGTGCAACCCAATGATTATAACACCCTACCCCCGCCTTGGCTCCGCATACTTCTACAATAATGGCTTTATACAATATTTGTCCTTGTGGACTGAGTTAGTTCACTCAACATAATGCTCTCCAGTCCCTCTCAAGTTAGGTAATAATTTACAAAATCATTGCTCCTGTGTGCTGCATAGTATTCCATTGTGTGAATGTACCACAACTTCTCAATCCATTCATTTGTGGTTGGACATCTGTGTTCTTTCCATGTTCTTGCAATGGTGAATAGTGCTGCTATGAACATTGGTGTTCAAGTTTCCATTTGAGCCTCAGTCCTCATTTTCTTGGCATATATTCCAAGTAATGAATAGCTGGGTCATATGGAATTTCTAAGTTCCGCTTTTTGAGGAAGCACCAAACTGCCTTCCAGAGTGGTTGTACCATTGTACAGTCCCACTAACAATGTAAAAGAGTTCCTATCTCATTACATCCTTGCCAACATTTATTATTTGCAGTCCTGTTAAACTTTGCCACTGCTACTGCAGTGAGATGGTATCTCATTGTGATTTTGATTTGCATCTCTCTTATTGCCAGTAATTTGGAGCATTTCTTCATATGTCTGTTAGCCATTTGAATATCTTCCTCTGTGAGAATTCTTTCCATGTTTTTTCCTCATTTTGTAATTGGGTTATCAAACTTTTTTATTGTGGTGTATTCACTATTTTTGCCACTACCATAATTCAACAGCATCAATTCATCTTTGGTCTTCCTGAATAAGGAAGTTTAGTTCTGGAGAAGGGAAGTCAGAATCTATTCTTTCACTGTCATTTAAATCTGGCTAGGGGCTGTCCATAATCCTGATGGAAAGCAGAATGTTAAATAGAGGCTTTTGGGAGGAGGGGGTAAAATCCCTAAGACCTAGAAAGAGCAGTTTATTAAATTGCTTCCTTTTTAAATTAAGAGCAATTTCGGTAGAATGAGTCCTCTGAGCACCAACGTGTCAGAAAGGGGAGGGTACTGAAAAGGAAGAAATCTCGAAACTTGGTCTTGGACAAACTGAAAACACTGTCGACTTTAGTTTCTTATCTGTGAAATGGAGCCATACTACCTACATAATAGGCTTTTGCCAGGTTTAAAAGAGATAAGAAATGGAAAATATAAACTTTAAAAGAGTATAGACTACTCCAGATTTTTTTGAAAATTCCTTTTTCTTTTTAACTTTTAAAAGTACCCTGATCAGCCGGCTGGGCTGGGGCCGCGGATGAGATGGCGGAAGGCGGAGGCTGCCGTGAGCGACCGGATGCGGAGACCCAGAAATCCGAGCTCGGGGCATTGATGAGGACCACGCTCCAACGGGGGCGCAGTGGTATCTTATTGACAGCCGATGGTTTAAGCAATGGAAGAAGTACGTAGGCTTCGACAGCTGGGATATGTACAATGTGGGTGAACACAACCTATTTCCTGGCCCAGTAGATAACTCTGGACTCTTTTCAGATCCTGAGAGTCAGACCTTGAAAGAACACTTAATTGATTATGTACTGGTTCCAACTGAACTCTGGAATAAGTTACTGAACTGGTATGGCTGTGTTGAAGGCCAGCAATCCATCGTCAGAAAAGTTGTAGAGCATGGCCTCTTTGTCAAGCACTGCAACGTAGAGGTGTATTTATTGGAACTGAAGCTTTGCGAGAACAGTGACCCCTCCAATGTGCTGAATTGCCATTTCAGCAAGGCAGACACCATTGCAACCATCGAGAAGGAAATGCGTAAGCTCTTCAACATCCCTGCGGAGCGTGAAACACGGCTCTGGAACAAATACATGAGCAATACCTATGAGCAGTTGAGCAAACTGGACAACACTGTCCAGGATGCTGGGCTATACCAGGGTCAGGTGCTAGTAATTGAGCCCCAAAATGAAGATGGCACATGGCCCAGGCAGACCCTACAGTCAAAAGGACCTGGCCTCTCTACTTCGTATAGTTGTCAGGAGTCCCCATCGTCTCACATACAGCCTGGGCTCTGTGGACTTGGAAACCTGGGAAATACCTGCTTCATGAACTCTGCACCACTTACCGACTACTTTCTCAAAGATGAATATGAGGCTGAAATCAACAGAGAAAACCCTTTGGGGATGAAAGGGGCGATTACAGAAGCCTATGCAGACCTTATTAAGCAGATGTGGTCTGGAAGGGATTCTCATGTGGCACCACACATGTTCAAAACCCAAGTGGGACGTTTTGCCCCTCAGTTTTCTGGCTACCAGCAACAAGACTCTCAGGAGCTATTAGCTTTTCTTCTAGATGGATTGCATGAAGATCTGAACCGAGTGAAGAAGCAGCCCTACTTAGAGCTGAAAGATACTAATGGACGACCAGATGCGGTTGTAGCAAAGGAGGCCTGGGAGAATCACAGGTTGCGGAATGATTCTGTGATTGTGGACACTTTTCATGGTCTCTTTAAATCTACTTTGGTTTGTCCAGAATGTGCTAAAGTATCTGTGACCTTTGACCCATTTTGCTATTTAACTCTCCTACTGCCCTTGAAGAAAGATCGAATTATGGAGGTCTTCCTGGTTTCTGCTGACCTCTGCTGCAGACCTACTCAGTACCGTGTGACTGTGCCGCTGATTGGGGCCATATCAGACCTGTGTGAGGCGCTCTCCAGCCTGTTGGGCACTGCTGCGGAAAATATGGTAGTCACAGATGTGTATAATCACCGGTTCCATAAAATTTTCCAAATGGATGAAGTTTTAAATCACATCATGCCTCGGGATGACATTTTTGTGTATGAAGTCTGTAACACGTTGGAAGATGGCTCAAAATGCGTCACACTGCCAATCTACTTCAGGGAGAGGAAGTCCAGGCCATCAAGCACATCTTCTGGGGCAGTGCTTTATGGGCAGCTGCTGTTGGTTTCTGTCCCCAAGCACAAGCTGACCCTTGAGTCCTTGTATCAGGCTGTTTGTGAGCGTATCAGCCGTTATGTAAAACAGCCTTTGCCTGATGAGTTTAGCAACTCGCCCTTGGAGTTGGGAGCCTGCAATGGCTCTAGGGGCAGCTGTGAAGGAGAAGAAGAAGAAATGGAACATCAGGAAGAAGGCAAAGAGCAACTGTCAGAAACAGCCGGCAGTGGGGAGGAAGAGCTGACAAGTGACCCCAGTGACACCATCCAAAAGAAGGTCAAAGGACAGTCATCCCTGACAAAGCTTTTCACCTTCAGCCTTGTGAACTCCTATGGGACAGTTGACATAAATTCACTTGCAACTGATGGAAAAATACTTAAACTCAACTCTCGGTCCACACTGGCTTTTGATTGGGATAATGAGACCCGGAGCCTTTACTATGATGAGCAGGAGTCTGAAGCCTATGAGAAGCACATGAGCATGTTGCAGCCTCAGAAAAAGAAGAAGATCTCAGTGGCCCTGAGAGACTGCATTGAGCTCTTCACTACCATGGAGACCCTTGGGGAGCACGACCCCTGGTACTGTCCCAACTGTAAGAAGCATCAGCAGGCCACAAAGAAGTTTGACTTGTGGTCCTTGCCCAAGATCCTGGTAGTCCACCTGAAGCGTTTCTCTTATAACAGATACTGGAGGGATAGACTTGACACGGTTGTGGAATTCCCAGTCAGAGCTCTGAACATGTCCGAGTTTGTCCGTGACCTGTCAGCAAGGCCCTATGTGTATGACCTCATTGCTGTGTCCAATCATTATGGAGCCATGGGGGTTGGCCACTATCCTGCATATATAAAGAACAAATTGAATGGGAAATGGTATTATTTCGATGATAGCAATGTGTCTCTGGCTTCTGAAGATCAGATCGTGACAAAAGCAGCTTATGTGCTATTTTACCAGCGTCGGGATGATGAGTTTTCTAAGACACCTTCAGTCACCAGTTTTCCTAGTTCCTCTGAAGGAGAGACAAGAGCAAGCAGCTCGCATCAGGCCTTGGGGCATGATGAAGCTTGCAGCATGGACACCCACTGATGCTGCCTCGCTGACCCTCTTACCTCGCAGCACAGTGTAACCCTCCAGGAGAACATCCTTGACATGATGAAGACCACTAGCCGTCAATCCAACAATCAGATGGAAGAAATTCCCTTTTTTGATAACAGAAGAGAGAAACAAATGACCTTGTTTGCTCAGATGGGTTATGTCAAGAGACTGAATTACTTTTCTTTTTAAACTAAGGTGGTGAGAGAGATTCTGTAAAGAGATTCAGTGGAGCTACAGTGGGGGCGGGGGGGGCACAGTGGAATATGTCTGATGGATTACAGAGCTGGAGAGGAACATGCTAATTGAGACCTGCTGCAGGCCCGACTTGCCTGCCCTTCTGGTTCTTTGCCATTTACTGGTCACCTCAGTAGTTGCTCACAGTAAAGGAGGCCTCATGTGAAAAAAACCCTAAAATAAACAAACAAACAAATAAATAAAGTAAAATAAAAGTACCCTGATTAGTAGAAAGGACCACACTACACATTTTAAAGCTATTGCCAGATTTTGTTGCTGGTAGTATGAATGGAGCAAAAGCAAGAAAAACAGAAAGAGGACTGTGTATGTGTGTGCATACATGTCCAGGTGCTGGTTTTCTGCAGCCTCAAGGAGGTGAGTGAGCATGGTCCGGTACCCAAACAGGGAGGAGAACAGGTGGGAAATCAATCCAGGTAGCCAAGAATCTTACTGTCAAAATCATTGTTCATCTGAAACTTATTTCTTTAGTTTTAAAAAAATTCTTGGTATCTTTAAAAAATTGTTTTATTGCCTTTTTCATAAATTATTGCTCTATTTTCCTTTACTGCCTTTCCTTTTGCCCAACTTCCCTGTTTATTAATTATTGCTCTTCTCTGCCTCCCTTCTCATTCCTGTTAACTCTCCAGGATAGATGTCAGCAGTGTGTAAAGCTCCTTTTAGGTTTTTACGTCAATGGGTTTATACCATAATTGCTCTTTTTGTCTGACTACACAGGGAGCTCTGATGGTGTAGTCCACAAATTGTTGCATTGCTAACACAAAGTCCAAGCCTCTCTCCTGGTTTGAATCTACCAGTGACTTTGTAGGAGAAAGATAGACCATCTCCTCCTCTCAGTGACTTACGACCTCCTGAAAACCCACTAAACATTTGAGTATGAGCTGATTCTGACTTGAAGCAATGAGTTCTTTTTACATAGCTCATCACCATGTGTTTTAGATTCATTGATATTGTGCAGTATTTCACAAATTCTTAGTGGGTTTTGGTGGTGGTGGTTATGTGCCATAGCCTCAGAACTGACTCATAGCTCACCGTCCAGCCCATTTTCAGAGGCTATAAATTGCACTGGAGGAGAGTGCCCATTTTCTCCTGTGGAAGAGCTGGGGGTGGGGGGAATGTCAAATGTCCTGCCTTTAGATAGGTGGGTACAACTGGTTACCCACAAGGTCCCCAGAGCTCCCAGATCATTTTTTAGTGACGCATAATATTCCATTGAAAAGGAAACATTTCAACACCCACCAGCCAGTTGACAGGTAAAAGATTTTAGTCTGTTTTTGTAAAGATTATACACTTGGGAACCCTAAAAGTAAATTCAACTTTGTGCTGTAAAGTTGATGTAAAACTCAAACTCATTGCTGTTTGAGTCACTTCCAATTCATAGCATCTCTCCAGTGGGTTTCTGAGGCTATAAATCCCTGTGGGAGGAGCCCTTCTTTCTCCCATGGAGCCACTGGTGGGTTCCACCCACTAAAGATGTGCAAGCTTTGGGTCAGCAGGGCAACCTTCTATGACTACACTCCCAGAGGATCCCCTAGGGTCACTATGCATAGGGATCAACTCAACAGCAACGAGTTGGGGATTTTGTTTAAATGGTTGGTTTGATTTTTCTTTTTAAATTTTTATTGTTGTTATTATTATTGTTGTTGTTGTTCACCCTCAAAATGGATCTGACTGGTACAGGAGGAGATTGCCCCTTCTTCTCCAGCGAATCATCTGGTGGATTCTAATTGTGCACCTTTGGGATTGCAACACCGCTTCTTGCCACTAGGCCACCAGAGCTCCCTTAGTTTTTATTTTTTCTTGCTAATGCTATTCAGAGGGTGCTCTAGTAGCCTAATGGGTAAAACATTTGCACTGCCAACCCAACAGCAGATAATTTCAATCCACAAATTGCTCTGGAGAAAGATGTAGTCTCCTCCCATGTAATTTACAGCCTCTGAAAACTTGCTGGAGGGTCACCTATGAATTGATTTAGACTCTAAAGCACATAATAACAACAATACTGTTCAAAGCCTATAAAGATTTTACTCCCTCCTATGAAATTAGGGAAAAGATATCTTAGAATCTCGAAGTAAGAATGGCCTAGAATTGATACTCTAGTTCTATCTGAGTTAAGCCTTTAAAGGCTCAAAAAAAAAAACCCAACAAAAACTCAATCCTACCCAGTTCTTTAAAAAAAAAAAAAGATGAAGAAGGCAGGGATGTGTATGTGTGTGGTTAGTAAGGGTGGAGAATGGAAAGCTGATAATGACTCACTCACTTAGAAAGAGGATTATGTTTCCACCCCCACAAGCCTGATTCTGGGAACTCCCCGCTTTGGAAAAGGAGACGAATCTTGACATGAAAACAGCTTAAGGTAGTATCTCATTCTGACAAAGAAGCTTCATTCATTGTTAGCATCTAGATTGCACATTTAAAATGTAAGCGTTGGTACTTAATACATACCAGAGGCCTTAAAATGTATCTGTCCTTTGGTGAGCAATTTCAATTTTAGCTAGCTATCTTTTAGAAACAATTAGGCATGAAACACACAGATTGAGACGCTAGACAGCTCATCTATTCACCAGGCAGTAATAGCAAAAGCAACCTAAGTGGTTCAAATTATTAGATTAGTTAAGTAAATACATCCAAATAAGGATGAACTATTTATATTTATAATATTATTAAATAGACATTTATTACTTTTAAAAGATGCCTATAATTTATAAAGGACAAATGTAGATGATCATACAACATATACTCAATTACTTCATTTTAAAAAATAAATGTATGAGTGTGTGTAGTTTTTAAAGTCATACCATTTGAATTACTTCTGGTTCAACATGATGAACTGAGCACATACCTTTACTCTTTATTTGGTCTCCAAAGCACACTAAAATGATTTTTAAATATACACACATACCCGTACTCACAAATAATTTATGTAATGGCAGAAGGGAACTCGCCTTTGCTCTACCTTTCAACCTCGCTTTCTGCCTCCATTTCTGACCTGAGAATGATGATGAAATGTACGAGAAGAAGGTGAAAAAGGGGGTTTTACTTCTTTTGTTTTGTGAACAAAGCCACGATAAACATAGGTGTGCATATATCTGCTTGGATGGCAGTTATGGTCTCTTTAGGGTATATTCCCAGTAGTGGAATTGTTGGGTCAAATGGTATCCCTATTTGCAACTTTTTGAGAAAGCACCACACCACCTTCCACAGTTATTGCATCATGGAGTTTTACTTCTTAAAAATACTTTCCATACTATTTAAATTTTTCGTTAGCATGCCCATATATTTGTAATTTAAAAAGTTGTTGAAGGCTATGTATTAAAATATTCAGCAACATCACATTATTTATCTTGAATTCACCTAAACTACTTTAAATTCACCTCCAGTTCACTACAGCTCCTAAGGACGCAGTGACAGAACCTTATGCTGTCCTCCTGACCCATCCTCATGATCTCATACTCAAGCCCATTGTTTTGACCACTGTGTCATTTCATGGACGGTTTTCCTCTCTTTTGTAGACCCTCTACCAATCACATCAAAATACTTTTTCCAAGTTCTAGATTCTCCTAAAAACATGCCCAAGTGGAGACAAAATTCATCATCTTTGCCTCTAAGGACCACTTCAATTGCACTTCTACCCACATTGTCTACCAAGACTTTTGGCAATCCATAGTATATTCAGTATTATTTGCCAACACTACAGTTCAAAGGCATCAATTCTTCTTTTATTTTCCTTATTCACTGTTCAACTCCCAGATGCATGCAAAGCACTGGAAAATATCACAACTGTGATCAGGCACACCTTAGTCTATAAACTGACAACCTTACTCTTTCACACATTCAGAAGATACCCTGATAGCAGACTGTCCCAATGCAACATATCTTTTGATATCTTGACTATTACTATGGATGTTGATTGTTAATCCAAATAAAATTAAATCATTGACAGTTTCAACACTTCTCCATCTATTATAATATTGCCTGTTGTAGTAGGAGTTTTTGTTTTCTTGATATTGAGATGTAATTCATAGCAAAGGCATAATTTTTAATCTTCAGTAAGTACTTCAAGTCATCTTCACACTTTGCAAGCAAAGTCATGTCATCTACATAAAGCATGTTGTTAATGAGTCTTCTTCAAAGGATACAACTCTGACTTACACCTTTCATGATTTTATACTATGTAGTGTTCCTTTGTTCTATATGGACAACTGCTTCTTGGTCTGTGCATAGGTTTCACATAAGCATAATTAATGTCCTGGCATTCTCATTCTTCTCAACATTAGCCACAATTTATTATGATCCACATACCTGAATATCCTTGTATAATCAATAAAATACAAGTAAATACCTTCCTAGAGTCCTTTTATTTCAGCCAAGATCCATCTTACGTTAAGCAATCATTTCCTTTGTGCTACTGCCTCTTCTGAATCCAGCTTGAATTTCTGACAGCTCCCTTTCAATGTACTGTTTCAGTTGTTTTAAAAATAATCTTCAACAAGATTTTACTTGTATATTATATTAATGATATTATTAGATAACTTCTGTACTCTGTTGGATCATCTTTTTTAAAAAAATGGGGGAAATATGGATCTCTTACTGGTTAGTTGGACAGATAGCTGTTTTTCAGATTTCTTGGCTTAGACTAATGAGCATGTCCGGTCTGCCTTTCTTTGTTGAATTACCTCAGTTGGTATTTCATCAACTCCTGGGGCCTTATTTTTTGCCAGTGTGTTCACTAAAGAATT